CCCCAAAACCCCAAAACCCCAAAACCCCAAAACCCCAAAACCCCTTAAGGGGTTAAGGTAATTGAGATAGTTTTTGTTAAGTGATGTAATGATTTAGCGATATAATGATGTAGATAGGAGCTTGAGGTGCTTTGATAGGTGATTTGAAAGCATTCTATCAGTTAAAATTCTAATCTGGTGGAGATGCAGTGAAACACTAAATTTTCCAAAATGTTGTATTCATCATATCTGGAGTAAAATTAAAATCTACACTAAAAGACTACTTATGATTCACTATATATCAACAACTCAGACCCCGATCACATCATTATATTAACAGTCCCGATCTTAAAATTCTAAATTAATACCATTCCATCCCCTTCATCTCCCACAAAAGCTGTAGCGAGCCAAATAGGATTGATGACCATTTTTTTTCTAAAATTTACCCTTGAACTGTTAAAAAATATGGAATTCTTAAGGCTAGCTTGCGCTAAAATTATTGCAACCAAGAGTTTAGAGTGAGAGTTTTAGAACAAGGTTACCTAACCCATTTTGATCTTGAATTTCTTTCACCTTTGTTTCAGAGAGCCCGCATTTGGTAAGATAAATAATTTCCAGTGATGTTTTTAAATCTTCACAGTTCGCCAAACCTTTAATCAAATTCTCTAATCTTTCTGGATGCTCGCTCCAATTACTTTTTGCTTTCTGTCCACTTTTTGCAAAATTCAAAGTCTTAATCTTTGTTCCTTTTAAAGAATCCTCAAAATCAGGTATATCTTTTATATCTATCACTCAATTACAAAATGCAATTCATTTCTTTTCTTTAAAGCTCTCAAAAATTGTGTTCATATCTTCAGCCTTTACATTAAAGTTATACAGGAATAATGCTTCAGATATCTTATAACTCAAACATGTAATTTTATCAATAAATTCCTCTAACTGTAAGTTTGCACTGTTTTTACAGTTTAAATCAAGCCTTCTAACTTTGGAAGGAAACATGTCTGTCATAATACTAAAATATTTCAGGCTCTCTTTCAGGTAAGGAATCCACTTTTAGCTCATTTCAGTCAGGTAATCTCTTGTCTGAATTTTGATGCAAAAAGTCAACCTGCATTTGGTCTGATAAATCCAAAATAATATTGTTTTTGTTATCAACCAATCATTTTCCTTCAGTTAAGAGCTTAAAGGAATCCTCCTTAAGTTTATCTCAGGTAGTTTTGAGATCGATATTCTCAGTTCTATAATAATGTTGTTATCAATTTAGCCTACTCAAGTTTAGCAAGCTGGGCTGAACTTTCTTCTAGCTTTGCTTCCAAATCTCCTATTTTAGAGTTCAAATCAGCTATGAGATGTATGAATACTTAAAAAGTACCATTATTGATGACCACCTGAGCCTTTTCCTGGGTTAATCTTTCTTGCATCTCAGCATATTCTAGGTCCTTCTCTTGGAGTTCTTCTATATGTCTCTGATTGGCTAGCTCTAATTCTTCTTTCTGTTTTGAGACTTCCTCAAGGTTGAGTCTCCATCTCTCTTCGACAGCTTGGGTTTCTTGGTCATGCTCTGTATTTAGTCTTTCTATCTCTTGATCCTTTTTCTAAAAGGTTGTGTTGTGACGAGCCAAGATCATAAAGATGTATTAAAAGAAGATTAAGGGAATCAGTTGCTTACCTCTCTCATTTTTTGGATTAGTTCTTTGAACTGGTCTTTACAGGTGCCAATCTTTTCCTCAAACTCTGCAGTTAGCTTATCCTTGAGATCTACAGGATCCATTTGTAGTTCCTCTCCATTTGCAATCCTGAGTTGGCTTGCACAGAATCTTCTCATCACAAAGTCTTTTAGTACTTGAGAGGTTTGCATCTGATGATATATTTTTCTTTAATGCATATCAATATATTTCAAAGGAGCTTAAAGTTTATTCTACAAATTAGTAAAAATTCCTATCAAACTGCTAATTTCTTATATTCCATTAAACTAGTTGTACCACTGAAGAGGGATGAAACACAATAATTTTTGCCATATTTGATGAAACTAACATATTTTATGGCTTCAGACTTAATTAATGTAAAGATACCTCACTTCGTTCTCTAAGCTTTGGGGTTGACTGACCAAGCTACCATCTTGGCTCCTCCAGAGATTCTCAGCAAAGTGCTCCATTTGTTCTCTAATAGAGGCAATGAAAGTATCTCTCTGATCGGATGGAGGTCCAAATTCATTTATATATTTCAGACTTTGCTGAATCACTTGCAAGATTACCACGATTCCTTCAGAACTCACCAAGGCTTCTGCTTGCTCTGAGTAATTCATATTGTAACAAATCTGACATAGACATATTGTATTGTCATTTCTTATATTCTGTCTTAACTCCCCCATACATTTCTCCTGTGCAACAATACAACAAGTCGCTTTCTTCTTGCATTTGCCATGTTGGCATCGGCTATAATTCATTAAAACAGTTATTTATTACAATTTAATCACTATTTTACGGGGTTTTGGGGTTTTGGGGTTTTGGGGTTTTGGGGTTTTGGGGTTTTGGGG